GTTCTGTTATAATGCTACTCTGTGCAGTCGTCACCGGTCTATTAAAACACACAACATATTAAAGCGTCTTTGGTGTTTCCATGTTTTCTACAAAACAAAACCGGAAATCGAGGGGTTATGACGTCATTGGCAGGCGACACAATGACACTATGGACACGGTCTGTGTCACTATTTCCCTCTCATAGGCTCACTTCGATGCTGCGATGACGTCATCGCTTTGGGAACATCTTCGGTGTGACGAATGTCTGAAGCCCTTATACCATCACGCGAATTTATTGGCCAAATAGCGCTTAGCACCGCCCCCAATGCAAACGTAGGTGAGCTATATAGCGTGCTGCATGCTATTTCCATCAGATTTCATTTCCTTCAGGAAGTGAATCATCTGTCGCCCGTAGGAAAGCGTTATTTTATCGTGTTCTCAGCTAATTTGTTCTAAGAGCAGTTTACTCCTCTTCAGCGGACACGATGAGCTACAGGAGATGCATCGAGCCGTGTGACAGGTTCATCGCAGGAGGAGACACTCATGACAGGTGCGTACAATGTTTGGGCCTACAACACGCCCAAGCGGCGCTTAGCGGCCTCTCTTGATTGTCGACACTGTGATAGCCTACGGCTAAAAGCACTGCGCTCGAGGTTCGAGGCCTTCTCAAATAAAGTAGGCCTCGGGTCTAACCCCCGCTATCCCGTTTCTGCGGTTGCCACACGAGACGGTCGTTTGGGGTGACGCATGCGAGCCGAGGCGCTTAGAGGGCGAGTCAACGGAGCTGGACGAGGGAGAAGGCTTGACTCCAGAGGCCGTTAAAGAGCTCAGACGAGCTACTGACTTGGCGCTTAGGGCTACCAAGCACACAGCTCGGGCAGTGGGCAGGTCCATGGCAGGGTTAGTGTCAGCTGAGCGCCATCTTTGGCTCACTTTCACTGACATTAAGGAGAAGGACTTTTCTTTTGGACGTCCCCATCTGTTCGGAGATTCGGTCACTACGGTCGTGGAGAAGTTTCGAGCAGCGAAACAGCAGTCCGCCGCGTTTCGTCAGCTCATCCCGCGCAGGGCTAGGGAAGTAGAGCGTCAGCCACCTGCGGCTCGTTCACGCTCGTCCTCCTTACAGCGTCATGAGGCACAGCCACATGAGCCATCGCCTAAGTTACCCCCTCGTAAAGACTGGGGTCCTAGGTCTCGCCCACCGGCTTACGCACGGCAACGCAAGCGAGTGGACCTGAGTTCGACGGCAAAGCCCTCTCGTCCTCAGGCCCCTAATAGCAGTTCCTGATTCCTCTGCTCGTCTTCGGAGGCCAGGCCCTCCTTTAGAGAGAGTGTACGCCGCACAAGCGTATTCCTCTCTCGCTGTGGCCTCCTGACTCCGATCTTGACGGTCCCGCCACATATTGCGGCTCAGGCAGTCTTAGGTCGAGTCCTTACGACGAGCACCCTCTCAGATACTCTGCGCGTTCCAGCCTTCAGAGTTCGAAAGAAAGCCCAAGGCTCATGCGAGCATGGCCCGTTTATGACGGCCTCCAAAGCTCCCACTGTTGGGATCCAGTTTCGGAAAGGGCCACCTCCTTTCAGCGGGGTTCTCCCTACGACGGTACGTCCTGGGGACGCCTCGATTTTAAGTCAGGAGATCGTGTCACTCCTAGAGAAAGGGGCTATAGAGGAGATACTCCCCACTCAGATGGAGTCAGGCTTCTACAGCCGGTATTTTGTTGTGCCCAAGAAAGATGGTGGTTTACGTCCGATTTTGGACTTACGTCGTCTAAATCTTGTGCTCAGAGTGAGCAAGTTCAAGATGTTAACAGTGAAGTCCATTCTGTCTCAGGTCCAATCCGGAGATTGGTTTGTGACCATCGATCTAAAGGATGCATACTTTCACATCCAGATCGTCAGGAGGCACAGGAAGTTCCTCAGGTTTGCTTTCGAGGGCAAAGCATACCAATACTGTGTTCTTCCGTTCGGACTAGCTTTGGCTCCTCGAACGTTTACCAAATGTATGGACGCAGCTCTGGCACCGTTGCGGCTCCAGGGCGTCCGAATCTTGGAACTACCTGGACGATTGGCTAATATTAGCCCAATCCCAGGATCAGGCAAGGATACATCGAGATTTGGTACTCAATCATCTGAGGAGCCTAGGGTTACGGACAAACCTTCAAAAGAGTGTCCTGCTGCCTTGTCAGCATTGTCATCCGCTTCGCAGAATTACGGTGACACGCAGGGGCTTTCGTACTCTAAGCCCGTGGATGAGACCCCAGTTCCTTCTGGGGGGGGTTCAGATGGGGACGTTGTGTTGCCGCAAGACGGTCACGACGGACACGTCCCTCACGGGCTGGGGAGCTGTCCATCAAGGACGTCCAGTCGGTCCAGTTCACTGCCCTATAGGTTCAGTACTGGAGTTTCTTCAGAGTCGTTTTTCTGAAGGGGTTACCCCCGCCACTCTTAAAGTGTACGTGGCGGCCATATCGGCAGGACATGCACTCGTAGGAGGTGCTTCGGTTGGTCGTCACACCCTGGTGTCACGTTTTATGCAGGGTTCGAGACGGCTTAGGCCTTTCCGCCCAGCCCGAGTTCCTTCTTGGGACTTATCGATTGTGTTGGAGGGCCTGACAGGCCATCCCTTTGAACCGATGGAGTCTGTGTCAGAGAAGCTCTTGACCCTCAAGACGATTCTTTTGGTGGCTTTATCCTCCCTTAAGAGAGTAGGGGATCTGCAGGCTCTATCCGTCAGTCCTTCATGTATGGACTTTGCCCCGGGGCTGGTTAAAGTCTTTTTGTGACCTAGGCCTGATTATGTTCGGAAGGTTGCTTCGACTCCGTTTCGTTTTCAACAAGTGGTTTTGGAGGCTTTTTCCCCAGTTGAAGAGGGGTCAGTTAGCGTTTTACAGTCTGGACGTGAGGATGGCTCCTGGCTCCCGGGTCTTATCCGCTTGAGCAGACGCTTTCCTCGGTCTTCCAGCTATCTAAGGTACGTCAGGCGTTATGGTATAGCGTTCCCAAAGCGATGATGTCATCGCAGCATGAAAGTGAGCCTATGAGAGGGAACATCTCGGTTATGTATGTAACCTTGGTTCCCTGAATAGGGGAACGAGATGCTGCGATGCTCGGCCGTTCCGTACCTTGATAGCGCTTCTTCGGAAATCAGTGAAATCTGATGGAAATAGCACGCAGCACGCTATATAGCTCACCTACGTGTGCATTGGGGGCGGTGCTAAGCGCTATTTGGCCAATAAATTGGCGCGATGGTATAAGGGCTTCAGACATTCGTCACACCGAAGGTGTTCCCAAAGCGATGACGTCATCGCAGCATCTCGTTCCCCTATTCAGGGAACCAAGGTTACATACGTAACCGAGATGTTAAAATTGCTTATTTCTCTGGATTTAAACATTCTTTGAAACATTTGGGATAAAGTATACAAGTCAGCAAAATATATAACACTGTTTTAGTAGTTTTGGGATATTTTAATAAAAAAATCTTACATATTGTGCCTTGAATTCTGCAAAGTTTATGTGGTTATAATTCAATTCAAAAGACGACTTCAAAAGTACCAAGAGACATTAGGCCCCATGGCCAAAAACACCCACAAGGCACCTTTCCACACTTTTTTTTTCTTTTTTACACATTTGGCAATTTTATCTAACGTGACTTATGTTGCATTAAATGTACACATTTTTATCAGCTCATGCATTCCCTGGGAATTGAACTCACAACCTTGGCATTGCTATCAGCATGCTTTTACTCTGAGCTACAGGAATGCATTTTCCCCAATATAGCACCATGTTGCTCTTCTGTCAGACATGGCAACACAAGCTGGAGAACAGGCTTAGAGTCACAGCACCCGTCCCGTCCTGCTGGTGGATCCTCTTACAGGGATAAACCCACAGGATAAGATGCTGATATCTAAAGAAGACAGAGGCTCAAATACACACTAAACCCCAAAACAGCAGCACAGCAGGTGCTTGTATTCAATTAGAAAACAGAGAGTTGGACGGTATGAACATTTATTTCTGGAAATTAATTACAAAGTCTTCAAATACCAGTGAACCAGCAGATTTTGGTAAACAAGTTCGCAAATCTGTTTATATTCCTCTCAAGAACAAGATACAGGGCTTTGGATGATTATTATTATTATTATTATAGTGGAATAATTGTCTGTTATTCTGCTAAAGGATAACAAGACAAGGTTAAAATCTACCGCTGTGAATGATTATTACATCTTGAGCCTTACAGACCACAGTTTGGCATCTATATGTACATGAATTTTGGATGAGAAATGTCACATGAAAGAGACAAAAGCTCAAAGTTAGTGTTTGAGGAAGTAGGAACCAACCAGAACACATAACAGGAAATGACAGTGCCAAAAACCTTCAAGATCATCTTAAAGGGATAGTTCACCCAAAAATGAAGATTCAGACACACCCTTGCGTCATTCCAAATGCAGAACAGAAAAGACGATGTGTTTATCCATACACTGAAAGTCAATGGGGTCCAAAACAACTTTTGTTTGGACCCCATTGACTATCATTGCACAGACAAACAAAAACATACATTTTTAAAATATCTTCACTCAAACTGGCTTGGAACGAAATAAGGGTGAGAAATTGATGAATAATGGGTGTACTATCCCTTTAACCACAACTGATTTTAATACATAGTGGATGCCTAAACTTACAGAACTGCTGTTAGTGTTTCATTAAGACATTAAACACAAGATGCATATGTGCTTTAGCCCTTTGCTGGTGAAACAAAATGAGTGACAGACACACACACACACACACACACACACACACACACACACAGAGAAAGCAGTTCATTACATTACACAGATTGGATCAAGGCAAGGCTTTGCCATTTTAATAAATAAGTTGAAAATAAGCATAAGCACAACTAATAAAGGTTGGAGAAGTGGGAACTACGCGTCCCCTAATCTCTGCCGTCCCCTTTTCTCTCTTTGCAGTCAGCAGTGGAGGACTGGTGTTATTGTAGAGCAGTAATATACGCCCTTATACGAGTGCAATGCTTGTCAACATCATCGTCAAGATTACAATCATTACAGTCATTATCCACTACAACATCACTAGTATCAGCACAAATGCATTCTTAGATTAGTAAATGTCAAAGAAAAAAGGGACAGGGAAGTTTGTAACTTTTTTCATGAGTTCCTCTACTTCATTTAGTCCCCATTTTGTTTTCCAACCGCTCCTAGACACAGCAGACTACCTGTTGTGGAAATACGCACGCATAAAACATGACTTCCTGTAAAGAGAATGAAGGGATATAGAAGAACGTCACATATAGAAGACAATGTGGCGAAACATGAAGAGTATTATGTGCTCTACAGGATGATTACAGTGCAATGAGTCAGACGTATGAGCAAAAAGGTTGTCTGTATTCGTTTTTACGGACCAAATAACAAACCTTCCTTCTACAATGAAAGCCTAAAAAGGAGTTTTCTTCTTAAATAAGCACTGGCCTACAGTTTAAAAGCTTCAACAGTATTAGTATTACTTGTCACACCTGTAAACGTTTGTCTCCTAAACTGTCGAGAAGTTACAAAGACTCAGCTGCAGCGTCTCACGTGTTCCAGAACGTATTCTGGGAAGTGCAAACTACACACTTGCAGTCCATCCAGTTTGCAAGGCATCCTGGGATACTCGTCCTCTTTCCATTTGTTCTCCTCTGGGTCAAATGAGAGGATAGAGTCGCTGTAATGACCGTTGTAGCAAAGTCCTCCAAGCACCATGATCTGTTCGTCCAACACTGCCACTCCGTGTCCGCTGCGTCCTATAGGCATAGAGGCCAAAATAGTCCACTCGTCGGTCTCTGGGTCGTACACTTCCGTCGAAGGGCAGCCCTGGGACTCGAAAGAGGCACGCAGTATCACACACACCCCGCCGAACACGTACAGCTTCCCATTGTGGGAGATCATCTTATGGAAGCAACGAGCGTAGTTCATTTTTGACTTGTTCTCCCAGCAGTTGGTGAGGATAGGCGTTCGCCGCATACGGTGTTCGGACGTTCCCTCCCGTCCCGGGTCAAAAACGCATACTTGTTTTGAGGTGGAAGAGGAGGTGATGCCGCCAGTGATATACAACTTCCCGTTGAGCACGGTTCCTTCGTGGCCGTACTTGTTTACAGGGTACGGGTCTACAAACTCCCACTTGTCCTCAACAATGTCATAACGCTCCGTAGAATAGAACGTCTCATCGCGAGTGCGGCCGGCGACGGCGTAAATATACTTCCCGATGACGCCGACCGCAAACTCTGATCTGGGAACGGACATGTCGGCCATGCGTAGCCAGGAGTTCTGTCTGGGATCGTAGCGGTAGACCTTAGAAGAAGCGTGGAATTCTCCATCTGGGCCTAGTTCTTCACCACCCAACAGGAAAGCGAAGTTGTTGACGATGGCCAGGCAATCGGGCCGGAGCGGCACCTGAGGGCCTTCTAGTTCCCACCACACTTTGGGCCGGTGCAAGAGGAGGATCTTGCTGTTGACCATGCTGTGGCCAATCATTCCACGGAATACAGCAGTCTGGGGTCTCACGGATCTGATGCGGTTGGACTTGGTTTCCGCCAGCGGTTGTTCGTTCACTTGATGGAAGTAGCTGAGTGCCTGGTCTACTTCTAGTCTCAGTTGGCGGGAATAACGGTAGAACTCTGATGTCTTCACCTGTGCAAGCAGAAAGAAACAGATAAAGGTCAATGACATGACACTTTATAAATACACTACCGTTCAAATATTTGGGGTTAGTAAGACGTTTTTGAAAGACGTCTCTTATGCTCGTCAATGCTGCATTTAATTTATCAAAATGCAGTAAAAACAGTAATATTGTAACAGTATTACAATTTAAAATAACTGTTTTCTATTTTAATTTTATTTTAAAATGTAATTTATTCCTGTGATGGCAAAGCTGAATTTTCAGCAGCCATTATTTCAGTGAGCATGATCCTTCAGAAATCATTCACATATGTTGATTTGGTGCTCAGGAAACATTTAAAATGCTTATTATTCGAAAAACTTCTGTTTGCCAAACAAAAATTAATGCATAAAAAAATTAGTTATATCAGAGAGGACCCCGGCAGATCCTCATGACTGGGTCATATAATATGTTTCTTAAAGGGATAGTTCACCTGAAAATGAAAATTCTGTCATTAATTTCTCACCCTTATGTCATTCCAAACCCCTAAGACCTTTGTTCGTCTTTGGAACACAAATAAAGTTATTTTTGATGAAATCCGAGAGCTTTCTGACCCTGCATAGACAGCAATGGAACTACCACGTTCAAGGCCCCTAAAGGTAGTAAAGTACATTGTTAAAATAGTCCAGAAGAACTAGAACAATAGTTTTTACTTTAGTGGTTAGACCACTATTTTTCTTGAAAATAGTATAAATGTTTTCAGAAAACCACATGTAATCAAACAATTTGGCAAACATTTAAAACCAGATTTTTAAATGATTTCTCTTTTTCTGTTGTGTTCTCTCTTATCTGTCAATGACACATAAGGAACAAGGAAGCACTTTTACCTTTTCAAAGACATTGGCAGGGGTCATGAGGCAAAAGCGCAGGTTCTGCACGACCGCATCCGTATGTCTCCAGCGCCGCCGGTCATGTCTCAGCCAGGCCTGCACCGCCTCGTACAGCTCAATTTCCGGAAATCGACTCAGCTGGTCACTATCCAGATATGCCATCAACTTCTCCAAACTCAGATAAGATAGGAAGTCCGGTCGTGCCATCAAGGGCACAAAGTTCTCCAGCAGAAACGCGTCAAGCTGCTCCTGCACGCCTTCCACGCCGACACTAAAGTCTTCCAGCAAGCGCATGACCTCAGCACAGTTCTCCAAGCAGATCTTGGCCAGCAGGAAGGAGCAGCAGAACTCTACAGCCTCGGCGAGTTGCACGTACATGGCAGCCTGCAGGATCTCCTGCACCGAGAGCATGCTCAACTCCAAAGAACCGTAGTACATGAAGCGAAGGACGTGACCAAACCCGGCTGCCGTCAACCCCTTCATGTGAATCTTATCCTGGTCACGTTCCCGCATATCGGCCGTGAACATGACCCGGAAATAGTCGCTTTGCGTTGCTAACAGAGCCTTGTGCGCCTGGAAGTGGTGCTCCTCGATGAGCAGAGTGACATCGAGCAGCAGTCGCTCCTCATACAAGGCTCTGAAGCCCGACGACACACTGCCGTCATGCCCTTGCGAAAGGTACACCTCCACATCCCCCGCCATTAGGCACCTGCAGAGACACAAACGCTCTTATAAATGACATGTCAAGACGAGTCGATATGTTCCAATTCAGCAGGTCATCTCTGCAAGATTGGGAAGACAATAACTGTGATGTAGAGACAGACATTTTACAGCTTTCTCTCAGGTATCTGATAGAAATAAGACTTATTTGTCTCATCTCGGAGTTGGAAATCAAACAAAAGGATGGGAAAAGCCTCTTAAAGGGACAGTTCACCCAAAAATGAAAACTTATTTTGAAACACAAAAGAAGCTATTTTGAAAAATTTGTCCACAAAATTAAAATTAGTGGGGTCCACATTAATGTTATTTGATAGACAAAAACTAGTAAGTCGTAGAATGAAAATGAGTCAAACACCATTTAAAAGTTTGGGTTCAGTTTGATTTTTTTTAATTAATATTATGAAATTTCTATTTATCATAAAATCCTAAAAAAAAATGGATCTCTGTTTCCACAAAAATATAAAGCAGCACAACTGTTTATAACATTGATAATAATAAGAAATGCTTCTTGAGCACCAAATCAGCAAATTAGAATGATTTCTGAAGGATCATGTGACACTGAAAACCACAGTAATGGCTGCTGATAATTCAGCTTTGCAATTACAGGAATAAAATACATTTTAAAATATATATTTTTAAAAATTTTAATTGTAATAAAAAATGTAAATTGTAATATTTCACAGTATTACTGTTTTTACTGTAATTTAGATCAAATAAGCTTTGGTGAGCATAAGAGATTTCTTTCAAAAACAACAACAAAAAAAATCATACCGACCCCAAACTGTAGCATAAATGATGAGAAGATTTTCATTTTGGGGCGAACAATTGCTTTAAAACAAGATACAATTAAGCATAATTACATGATCATTGAACTAAACAGCATCTCCTCAAGCTCTTTATCACTATTTGTATTTTAGTGAATAATAGTTGGTGAAAAACATGCCAGATTTAATAAAGCTTCTGGAAGGACTTCAAGAACTTTCACACCTCAGCACTTCAGTTTCTGCTGCTGAAAGCCAAACTCTAATCTCAAAGCTCCCCAACACACACTCCCCCTCTACTGCACACATACACACCCAGCACACTCACCTCTGATTGGCCACGGGCATGTCACAGGTGGGTGTCCGAGCCAATCAGAGGACAGTACCTCTTGTGTCCGTAGGAAATTAAATTCTGAAGATATTCACCTAAATGACAAATCGAACAAGCCCCAAATCATTAAAATAACGTGAAAATTACCAACAGACTAAAATACTAAAGATGCACCATTTCAATGTCCCACTGTGTGCAAACAGGAAACAACTACTTATAAATGGAGGCAGAATTTGATAGACTATTTTGACAAAAATATATCCCGGCTTGCATATTGAAACTACACCATATTTGTGCACCGATGCTGTAATTTTTTCATATAAAATTGAGATGAAATAGCAGGTTATGTGGCTTGTAGAGGGTGATGATTTTCTGATATTACCTTTTAGAGGCCTCCTGGCCAACTGTCGGCTTCACTGCGCTGAAGGGACGTTCACATTTCCTTTGCTTATATTTGCCCTGCTCTAAAAAGAGATGACATCCACACGCTGATAAATAGACAGGTATTCTTTCATTTCTGTGTTATTATTATGTAATTTCCCCATTGTTAACACACACTTGAAAATGTTCTGCTAAAGAGTTAAAAAAGAACATATCAAATGTTACTCATTCAGAAAACACAGAGCAACATCTGATATGGTGTATAAAAAATGTTTGGGCTTTTTTTAGTGCAAGTCTGAACAAGTGCATATATATGAGGACAAAACAAACGTTTTGAGATTGTCACATATATTAATTTTCACAAAGTCTGCTGCTACAGTGTTTTTAGATCTTTTTGTCAGATGTTACTATGGTATACTGAAGTATAATTACAAGAATTTCATAAGTGTCAAAGGCTTTTATTGACAATTACAATAAGTTTATGCAATGACCCTTCTTTTTCAAGACCTCTGCAATTCGCCCTGGCATGCTGTCAATCAACTTCTGGGCCACATCCTGACTGATGGCAGCCCATTCTTGCATAATCAATGCTTGGAGTTTGTCAGAATTTGTGGGTTTTTGTTTGTCTACCCTCCTCTTGAGGACTGACCACAAGATCTCAATGGGATTAAAGTCTGGGGAGTTTCCTGGCCATGGACTCAAAATTTCGATGTTTTGTTCCCCAAGCCACTTAGTTATCATTTTGCCTTATGGCAAGGTGCTCCAGCATGCTGGAAAAGGCATTGTTCATCACCAAACTGTTCTTGGACGGTTGGGAGAGGTTGCTCTCGGTGGATGTTTTTGTACCGTTCTTTATTCATGGCTGTGTTCTTAGGCAAAACTGTGAGTGAGCCCACTCCCTTGGCTGAGAAGCAACCCCACACATGAATGGTCTCAGGATGCTTTACTGTTGGCATGACACAGGACTGATGGTTGCGCTCACCTTTTCTTCTCCGGACAAGCTTTATTCCGGATGCCCCAAACAATCAGAAAGGGGAATCATCAGAGAAAATTACTTTACCCCAGTCTTCAGCAATCCAATCCCTGTACCTTTTGGAGAATATCAGTCTGTCCCTGATGTTTTTCCTGGAGAGAAGTGGGCTCTTTGATGCCACCAGGCCATCCTCCAAAAGTCTTGGCCTCACTGCGTGCAGATGCACTCGCACCTGCCTGCTGCCATTCCTGAGCAAGCTCTGCAATGTTGGTGCCCCGATCCTGCAGCCGAATCAACTTTAGGAGAGAGGCCACTAGGTGGTACTGTGTATGTGCCGAACTCGTCCATCCGTGCTCATCCGCGGTTGAGTACAGCCGTGGCCCAAAGTTTTGAGAATGACACAAATATTAATTTTCACAAAGTCTGCTGCTACAGTGTTTTTAGATCTTTTTGTCAGATGTTACTATGGTATACTGAAGTATAATTACAAGAATTTCATAAGTGTCAAAGGCTTTTATTGACAATTACAATAAGTTTATGCAATGACCCTTCTTTTTCAAGACCTCTGCAATTCGCCCTGGCATGCTGTCAATCAACTTCTGGGCCACATCCTGACTGATGGCAGGCCATTCTTGCATAATCAATGCTTGGAGTTTGTCAGAATTTGTGGGTTTTTGTTTGTCTACCCTCCTCTTGAGGACTGACCACAAGATCTCAATGGGATTAAAGTCTGGGGAGTTTCCTGGCCATGGACTCAAAATTTCGATGTTTTGTTCCCCAAGCCACTTAGTTATCATTTTGCCTTATGGCAAGGTGCTCCAGCATGCTGGAAAAGGCATTGTTCATCACCAAACTGTTCTTGGACGGTTGGGAGAGGTTGCTCTCGGTGGATGTTTTTGTACCGTTCTTTATTCATGGCTGTGTTCTTAGGCAAAACTGTGAGTGAGCCCACTCCCTTGGCTGAGAAGCAACCCCACACATGAATGGTCTCAGGATGCTTTACTGTTGGCATGACACAGGACTGATGGTTGCGCTCACCTTTTCTTCTCCGGACAAGCTTTATTCTGGATGCCCCAAGCAATCAGAAAGGGGAATCATCAGAGAAAATTACTTTACCCCAGTCTTCAGCAATCCAATCCCTGTACCTTTTGGAGAATATCAGTCTGTCCCTGATGTTTTTCCTGGAGAGAAGTGGGTTCTTTGCTGCCCTTCTTGACACCAGGCCATCCTCCA